GCAAAGGATTCTAGGATCATAAAAGATATAATTGCCCTCCCTACTTGTTACCTTTGGTCTTCAGCTACTACTTCCCATGCTTTCGGCCCGCGTCCTTCATTCCAACACTACTTTTCCAGAGAAAAGGTCTTTATGTTCCGACATCATCTTCTAAGCAGATCTACCCTTCAGAAGGCGCCTCAGTGCCGCCGAGGAACTCAAGCCTCAGTTTTACCAGCTTGGCCATTTTCGGTCACTGGAAAAGTGGTTTTTTTCTTTTTTTCTTTTTCTTTTTTGCCCTAAATCAATAAATTTCTACAGAAGCATATGTTTCTCGACACATAAGCTGGCACTTGGCAGTGAGTGAAACAAGTGACCCAGGCCAGCCTGATATCAGAGCAGGTTTAACTGAAGCAGTCTAGGTTTAACTGAATGACGCTACAGGGGAGCCTTTCTCTGAAGACTACGACTTAGTAGAAAGCCAGCTGTTTTCTCCTGCAGTGCCCAGGCTACCTCCCCCCACAGTCCACGCTGAGGGCCACCGGCCTGGTCTAAGACAGCTAGGAATCCAGGTCCTGGCAGGTGTCCAGGTCCTTGGAGCCTCGCCCTCACCTGGTTCTGGTGCTGACTCTCCTTCCACAAACCCAGCCCTGCCTCACTTCCTCCCATGCAGGCTGACCCTGGCCACGTTCGCTGTCCCCAGAGCCCTGAACCCTCCTGACAATGTGCTCAGATTCGACCAAGCCTAGGAAGCCACTTCACTGCTGCCCCCACTTCTTCAGTCACCCTCAAAGAGGCAGATCCCAACACCTGTCCCAGCCAGTGGCTGATGTCTGCTATCCACAGGATGATGGACCCTCATCAGTTCCCCTCTCTTGCAGTGATGCCAGCTCTTCATAGAGGAACTCGTTTGAGTTCCTTGCTGTAAGTGAAACCTTTCACTGAAGGAAACATCACTGGCCGGTGTTTGTGTGGGCACCAACCAGCATATGTTCACACCTTTCCACATTCCTGGACAGACCTTCAGCCCCGGGAGGTGACTCCAGGAGGTAAGGGCCCTGCACTAGCTGTTTCAACACTGAGGAGGCCGCAGGGAAGAATCACTGAAGGGTAGGGGGTGCTTTGTAGCATGGCCAATGTCTACCATAGCCTCTATTTCTAACTCAACTGGTCCAGGATGTGACCTGGGCATCAGCATGTTCTGAAAAGCTTCCCTGTGATTTTAAGATGTCACCAGGATTGAGAACCCCTGATTCAGAAAGAAGACGGCAGAGACACCCCAATGTGCCAGATGCACAGCATGCAATTTAACAGCAGTTCCAACCCAGGCCCTTTCCTGGGATAAATTCACCTGGAGCAGTCAACAAAGCAGCCATAACAACAGCTGAATTCTGTTTCATTTCAGCGGTGCCCCTTCAGCCATCTGAGCCTCCCTTTCCCCAGATAATGTCCTGGTAAGGGCTCCTCTAGAACCTACCTCCTGCTTCTCCTACCTCCTATTGTTCAGTGTCATGCATCTCTCTCCTCTCCTTACTGCTCATTGAAACGCAGACTGTTTATAGATTGCTTATATACACCTCAAAAAATGTTGTATATGCTGCCTTGATGTTAAATTTGAGTACCACCTGCCTTGTAAGTAAAAAATATATATACAGAAACAAAGCTCTTTAGTCCATTCGAGAGTGTGTAAAACTTACGATCTGATATCCCACGATGCACAGAAAGCTCCTTGGCGGGAGCAGACTAAGCTTCCCACTAGGCAGGTGCCTGAACCAATAGCTCCTGTTCCCGGAATGCCAAGGTCAGGTGGGTGTTCTTTCTGGTGCATAGCAACAGCCTCCCATGATGCCTGCCATTTTTTATTTCCTCTGAGCTTGGTTTAATATCTACTTATCAAGTAGAAAATTCATTTTGGAACTATTTTCAGAGCAAGCATAGAGACATCCCTAAGATATATTAGCTACATTATTTTAATCCAATGAAATACATAAATCTCTCAACCTGCAATAAACTCAGCACAGAGGAGGGCAGACAGTCTCTCAGATGGGCCCACTTAGATGAAAAATGGCACAGAAATCTATACATGAGCAGGTATATGTCAGAACTCAGAATAAAGTGGGTTTCTTTGGGACCCCATTTACAATGATTTGGTTACAGGATGTATCGAAAGATTTTTTTGCAGTGTTATGGGAAACATTAACAACCAGAAAGCCCAGTCACAGCTCAGTCCCACACCTGGATAGTCAAATGGTTGCCTCTACCTGGACAGCCCCAAGATCTGCAAACTTACCTGTCCACATCAGAACTTACTTGTCCTCATCAGCTGCTCTCCTGCTCCAGTATCACTGATCTCACTAAGTTCATGAGGTCACTTCCCCCCAGAAAGCTAGTAGTCATCCTGGAATGCTATCTCCCCTCATCCACCTACCTAGGGTCCTTGAAACCTCATTTGCTGCAACCCCCTTTTGTCGGTCCATCCCAGACCACAGTCCTTGTTCGAACATGCTGCTTCCCAGACTCCTCCATGGCCTCCCAGCTGCACTCCTGGTACTGAGCCTCAGCCCCTCTGATCTAGCCTGTAGGTTCTAAGTTGTGTCCCAATACATCTCTGGAACAACCCCTATCATGCTACTTCTTTCCTTTCATGTTGCTCCCATCTGTAGCATGGTGTTCAAAGTCTTAACTATTTAAGTTCCTCCACAATTGGGCCCCCATTCATATAAGCCTAACTCCACAAGCAACCTGCAAAATCTACTCACTGTCCACACCCACCTCCTCTATGAAACCTTTCCTCACACACCACCCCGGTGGAAGAAGTGACAGCCTGACCCTTGAGTCCCTGCTCAGACTTGTCTCACGGTATCGACAGATATTTGGGAACACAGCTATGAGGTCCTAAGAGCAAGAATTGCATCTTAGTTTCTCAACCAGTATCTGGCAATGCCACTGAACGCACAGTGGGAGTTTGATAAATACCAACTACGTGAATGAACATCCCAACATCAGCAAACACTGGCTCCCAAATATTTTCTGAACAATTCACATATTTTGTTTTCAGCTGCTGAGGATACAGAGCTGCCTCTTGTTCCACTTATAAATCATTTGCAGGGGAACAAAAAAAATCAATCAGCACAGGAGATACATCACCTAGAAATCTTTTCTTTGTTCTTTACTCCTGAAGGAAGGGTCATGCTTCAAGACACTCCAACAGCAGATAGTGAAAAACTATCAACAAGAGTTATTTCCAGTCCCTCGCCCCCGACTTTTAAATGCCCTCTCCCTGAAGTGACTAGTATGTGACTGAGGCATGCGGTGAAGACACTAATAAAAGCAGAACACCACGGCATAAGTCAGACTGACTTAGTCTACATCTGCCTGCCCCTTCCTGGGTAGACATATTATAACCCCAAGAATAAAAATGGACTTCCCTGACTTCATAACTTCTAAGTCCTTGAGGGACCACATAAAAATAAGGCCATGCTCTTGATTCACAGTGGGCAACCCTAAGGTAGAAGCTTTAAAAGGATCTGAGCCCACTTAGAGTTCCCTCAAAATTGTCAAATACCTGAATGTGACTGCGTATTAATACCCAGTGAACACCCTCTTCTCCAGTGTTGATTTCATATTGGAAAATGAGCAATTTAAATAAATGTTTCATTAACATAATGTTTTCCTGCTTGATGCTAATGCACTTAAGAGTAATTTGTTTTCCCAAACTCTCTTCCATAGAATCATTTCATGCAATCTTCCACAGGGCAAATTGAAATTTTTGGGGTCTCTAACACACAATCAAGGGAACCTAGAAACCAAGCAAGCAAAACCCACTTAGGCGAGAAGGAACTGGAGAGCCATTTTTCCCAAATACATCGATCACAGTGTGCTTTGAGAGGATGATTAGCCCCACCGCAGGGCGGGCGCTGGGTCTGAGCTGAGGGCACTTCAGCGGGCACTGCAGGTCCCTGAGAGAGAGAAGCCAACCAAGGAGCTTATTCAGGGAGCAGGTGGAGAGCGTGACATTTACTTTTGAGCCCTACAAGGCTTGCTCCCATTCTGTTTTGCCTCTCTATACAAGGGATTCTTGCTATGTGCTGATTCCAAGCCCCAAAAATTTCAAGGATAGTTCTAACATCTTTTATTAATAGAAATCCTTTAAAATTTCACAAAGCTCAGACACACTCCAAACATGCAACAGTAGGTATCATCGAAGGTTCTGTTTCTCTAAACCTGTAAGACACAGAGAAGTGGCCTGACAATGGTGGTAGAGAAAGAGAACATCTTTGGGGGGTGTCTGCCCACATCAGTGTGGTTCTCTGTGTGCCATTACATTGAGGGAAAGATACTGATTTAGCTCTATTATGTGGGGGGTGGGGGTATTAAAAAAAAAAAACACCTCAGCAAATAAATGAAGCACCAAAACAGTGACTTCCATGAAACTTGTTGGTGCAACGTCTATGGAAAAGCATGGCGACCCATCAGGCCGTGGAGATGAGTGGTAGGGTTGGCATTCTAGACTCTGCCAGACATAAACTGCAAAGGCCTTAGAGAAGTGACTTCACACTCTGAGCTTCAGCCACTTATTATAAAACAAAGCAGCAACAATACAATAATACAACAATACAACAAGCCACAGCAGTAGCAACAGCTCTCCATTGCTGAGCTCTTACTATGAGGCAGGTGCTGAAAGTGCTTTGTAAACATGAGGTAACAGCATTTCATTTCACCCTCAGAACACTGCAAGGGAGATACCATTAACTTCAGTTTACCAAAGCAGCTCCAAAGTCAGTAACAGGCCCAGGACACCCTGCTAAAGTGACTATGGGGTCTCAGTTCAAAACCAAGTGCACCTGCACACTGTACTCTCTGGACCCAAATGGCGTCCACACACGTTCTAAGGGACGATACATAGGTGAAGACATAGGTGAATGTCAGCCATCATGAACAAAGCCTCTGCCTGCCTCCCCTCGATGAAAGACCTGGTAGAAACCATGCACAGTGGGGAGAAGAGGTCTCCTGGCACTTACTTTCTCAGAACGGCTATCTCATTCTCTATGCTGCTTTCTTTGCCCTTCAGCGCCTTCTTAGGGATACACTTCACCGCAAAGAGTTTTCCAGTTGCCTTCTCTTCGGCTAACACCACTTCCGAAAACGCCCCACTGTGAACAAAAAAGAAGAAACAGCTTAGATTTAGGAGTTTTGGGTTTCACGAGGCTACCTCCCACCTCAACCACCCCCCAATCCCGGTACAAAAGCTTGATCAGTAATAACAAGAATGATCACCACTGGTGCTGCTACTTTTTCATTCAGCATCACCCCGCACCAAACCTCCTTATGCAAAGAAGTACACACAAATACACATATCCCGGGACAGATGCCCTTGTCTGACCACACCCTGGAGTCACCTTCTACACCTCAAAACAGCTTGTAGCGGTCACTTTGGGACAGACAGGAATGCTCCCAGGAACGCTCCTGCACAAGACCATGCCCCCACCCACACAGACTAGAAAGTCATAGCAAAATGTCTAGATCCCTTGTAGGCCCTCTCATCCCAAGATTTCAAAGCACTTCACAAACATTTAATTAATTCTCACAGATAGGTAAGGATGTAATTAAAGTGTGAGCTGGTGCCACACGTGGTATTGACACGGGGTTAATTAATTGGTAGGGGCACGCAAGTCTTCAATAAACAGCTTTTTTCTTTTTTAAAGCAAACAAACAAAAACATACAGGACACCCTTAGGGGGGAGAATGTACTGACTGAAACTAAGAATTTAACTCCACCGGGGCAGAGCAACAAACTCAAAATTTACCCAGCATCCTAGAGCCCAGAGAGTCCTTTCCTCCAAAGAGTCAGCTGTGATCAGAGCACCCTGAGCTGGCCCTCGGCACCCACTCTCCCAGCCCGTGTTGCTGGCAGGCGGACCCTGCTGTCACCCTGGGGACGAGGTGCATCTCCCCTAACGAATGGCTCCAGACCTCAGCAGGTTGGGCTCTGGGTGTGTGTATCCTAAAGCATAACAAGATCCTCTCCCTGTCCTAAATTTTGGGGAGCATTTCTTGTTCTCCTCAGTGAGACATTAAACATGGCTTCTTCACAGTTAGAGACAACTTTTCTACATTAAAAGAAACCACGAGAAGGATCGATGTCAACCAAATACCAGTGTCTTGGGACTTGGGCTTTTCAGATGAATCAAAGAGCTGCCCAGCAATGGAGATGGTGCCTGTCTCTCCCGTCCCTACCCATCCAACAGGATGCGCCATCTGTCACCAACCCAGAGAAGATGGTATGTAGTTTAAGAATCCTTTCTAATGAGAGGATTCACTTCCATGTTGAGTAAAGGACTATAAATCTTTAGGACAGTTACTACTGGAGTGGGAGTAAAGGGCTGTCTAACTTCAAGGCCAGTACATAGACCTGAGGGGCACAGACAGGTACAAAACAGCCAAATGGAAAATGTCTGAACAAGTCTCTTCTGATGAAACCCACAGGTAGAATTCTTCCCTCACAGTACTACATGGCTGGCATGGGTAGAAAGTCTAGAACGTACCAGAAGAGCAATTATTTTACATATATATATACATATATATATATAATATATGTATATATATACATATAATATATATTATATATGTAATATATAATATATATGTAATATATTATATATATGTTACATATATATATTATATATGCAGAAAACACAGAACAGATTAATCCCAAAATGATACTTGGGATCAGACATTCCAATGAATCTTGGTCATTGTCAATGGCCTACACTCAAGAAAGCCAAGTCATACCAATTTGAGAGAATCCCCCAGCCGGGGGTAGCCTCACCACTCTCTGAGGGACAGACCAAGATGGATTCACCTGTAAGACGGAGAAGCCCCTGACAACTACATGCAAGTGGCCTCATGCACCCCTGCAGGAGGTGGGATTAGAATTCTGGAGAGATAAGCAAAATCTGTGAGGAAAGACCAGGACTCTATCACCCTGGGTGAGTGTATGCCAAACCCTCCATGTTTTCATTTTCAGTTTCCCTATCTGTTACTTGAGTGCTAACAACATGGGTGGGGGAAGTAGAATTTACTGTGCCCATCTTCCAGAAACTGGGGGAGCCCTTTAGCAGCCACACCCCAGCTGCCACAACATGGGCCAGCAACAGCTGAGGGACATCGCCTGTGTCCTTGCCCCGCTCGTGTCCACCATGCCCTTTTTCTTCCGGACTTGCGTGAAGAATAACAGCACGGCCAACGCCCCGAAGGTTCCCTGTTTAGCTGCGGTACCCACATCATGCATGCGTGCTGTCCGTAAACGTGCTTCCTTGCTCGGTGCCTCCTCCCCTCCCTGTAAAACATAGCGAGACCTGCTGTTTCTGCAGGAATCAATCCCTAGACCCTGTCCTTTGAGACTTCAGGAGGGAGAGGCTCTGTGACCCCACGGTGAGGCAGGTCAAAGGGCAGATACGTAAAGGGGATGGGTGGGGGGGGCAGGGCTGACCCTGGATGGCTAAGGTACCTCCAGGGGGCTCCACCAATAGTTACTGGGAGGGACAACAGAAGCATAAAGGGGAGGTGACCGCCCGGCCTTTCAGATTGAAAGTCAGCCTGCAATTCCACTTCCAGGTGTGTGTGTGAGCGCGCACAATGGAAAGTACGGACCTGAACAGACATTTGTATTCCATGTGCCCAGCACACTATTCACTAGCGCTGAACAGAAACAGCGCAAGCTTCTGTCGCAGATGGGTGGCTTAACACAACATGGCTAGCCACGGGCGGAATTGCCATGAAAGAGGAACAGAACCGCGCATCTCGCTACACATGACCTTGATTCTGCTGAGTGAAACAGGCCACAATCACAAGGACAGACCCTACATGCTCCAGCACGTGTGAAGTAGCTAGAGCAGTCAGTTCACTGAGATAAAAAGCAGAATGGTGGTGCCAGAGGCGGGGGAGGGAGGGTGGTAATAACAAAGACCGCAGTTAATGCCGGTGAATTATACTCTTAAAAATGGCTAAACCAAATGCCCAAAAATGGATGACTGGATTAAAAAGATGTGGTACATATACACAATGGAATATTACTCAGCAACCAAAAAAAAAGAAACACATGTCTTTTGCAGCAACATGGATGGAGCTGGAAAAGATCATGCTTAGTGAAATAAGCCAGAAAGAAAAGGAAAAATACCAGATGGTTTCACTCATAGCAGGAATATAACGGAACAGGCGAGAAAATAATGATAATGACGAACAGCTATATACCAGAGACATTTTGTGGAGGCGGAGTGGGGAATGGGATCAAAAACAGTGGGGGGAGAGAAATGCACTGGACTATGGTGATGGCACATGGGTGATCTGGTGATGGGAAACCCAAGGGGATTGCAACTGAGATGGAAAAATGCACAAAAATATGTAAAAATAAACTATTATAAAAAAAATTTTAATGGCTAAAATGGCACATTTCATGTTATATATATTTTACCACTATAAAAAAAATCTTAATATCTGCCTGTTCACCTCACTGACGTTGCCTGGAGGTGGAAAGGGGAAAATGTGGTCACCTTTTCACTCCTCACCCCCCCCCCCAAGGTAAAGGAGTCTCCGTGAGTAACTGCAGGGAATCTGGATGTCTGTTTGACACTGACAAGGAACTGTGGTAGATATCAACTAATCCAATCCTAAGACTGCTGTTTGCCCATTATACAGAGGAAGACACTGAGGCTCAGGTTGTAAAAGTGAGGAAAGAGAACACAAGTCCCCTAAGCCCTCTGACGTCATTACACTGGGTTGAGACAGGCAGCCACCAGGGAGCTTGCCTCACAGCTGGAGAAGGTGATGGAAACCCACACCAGAATGTGCCTTTGGGGAGCTGCCAGCTTCCCCCGTGGTGCAAGACCGCCTCACTTCCTCCTGTAGCCAAACAGTGTGCAGTTACCTTCTTTAAGCTTTCCAAACAAAGCTCTTTAGTCTTAGGGGATATAAGATTAAAATAAATTGTTATTGCTCCTGCAATAAATAGAAATCACTTGAAGACACTTCCCGTGTTCCAGGAAAGCCAATTAAAAACATCAGAAGCAGAAAGTCATGAATGGAGAGCTTGGGCACTTTCAGGGTGATTACCCAAGTGGGGGGTAGGGGTGGAGGGGGGTGGTGGGTGCACTGAGAGACTGGGAGAGGGAGGCAGGGAGACAGGGAAGACTGGGAGGGAAGCTGGTGGCAGGGAAGAAAGCAGCAAGAGGCCTACAAAGCCTCTCACAGTTCAGAGAATAACAGAACTCAGAGAGCACAAGCAGAGGCACAGTTGCCAAGTTTGAGAAATACAAAGAGGTCGAAGCAGGCTGTAGTGTATCCAACCAAGAAATGATGCGACGGTTGCCTTGCTCCTTGAAAAGGAGAAGGGCGGGGCCTTCCAGTCAGAGTGAACTACATTTGCATCCTTTTCAAATGGCAGCGGATGGGGGGCCTGTATCTGCCTGGCACAGGGTGGGGGCCCCCACCCTACACAGTCTCACTTCTCCCCTCCACCTCCACTTAACCAGAACGAGGCAGGCTAGCTCCCCACCCCGCCCCACTGGGATGCCTCCTAATTGGTGCATCCAAGACTATGTCTTGCTGCTCACCCTTATTGGCCTTTGGTGTTACAGCTGGGGGCCTTGGCCTCCTTCCTAGAAATTGCCTCACCTGGGTTCCTTCAGTACAAGCCACTCTTCAAAGTCCACGATCCCTGAGGTGTCATCCTCAGGTCCCCTTTATCCTATTCCATACCCTGTGTTTGGATAACCTGCCTCCTCTAGTTTCTACCACCACCTGTGACCCCCCCAACTTTGATCTAAATTGCATCTCTCTTGTGTACATCTCGTCTTTCCAGAAGACTTCCCTGGAGCCCAGCCTCTCAGTACCATCATTAACACCAGAGTAAGAAATTGTATCTTCATCTCCAACTTCTCCCTCCTCCATTCTCGCTCTCATTTTCTACCCATTCCATGACTCAGCCAAAAAACCCATCAGTTCCACACCTCCAGTTCTCATTTCCATCACCAAGTATACTCAGCTGTTCCATTAACCAAGACTAACTGCCTGTCTGCCTACCTCTGTACCACCACTGGTCCAAGTTCCAGTATTTCATACTCAACTAGTGGCCCCCGTTCTCCAAGCCCCTCTG